ATATCGCGACGGCAGCACAACAACTTTCTTGTGCTGCAAAATTACGTTTTTTCGACTAAGTGATGAGACGGTGGTTAGATCCTGTGTAGGTGAGCGCTGCGACCTCTCGATCAGAAGTAGCGGATTTGACTACAGCAACTGGAAACAGAACGCATGAAAGGGTTGGTTGATGGTCGCTGTCAACGGCAGTCCTGTCGCGTGCATCAAAATGGTGCGGGTTCGAGCAAGTTATCGTTACACCAGGTTCTCCTGCCCGCGCAATTCGTTGCACCCCAACTGGGTCTTGTCTCGGTCGCCGGTCATCTTCCCGCTAGCTGTGTCCATCCCGCCCCCCAAACCGTCTAATTTCCCTCCAGCCGTTCGCATCCCCGCCATGATCACCCGTGCGAAGCCCATTGCGCACTCTTTCCCACACGCGCAAGCCTTGGACGGGCGCACGCACAAGCTGGCCTGCTTCCTTGCCTAGTCAGCGCGACAGCTGACAGTGCTCTTTCCTCTCAGCGCTGCGCTTCTATTGGCCCAATGTTGGTGGGGTAACCATTGCAAATCGCCGCGTGTCGAAGTCGTGCTCCACTCGTGGATTCTTGCCGCGAAAAAAACCACATTCTGGTCACAATTCGTTGTTGGCGTCTTGTGTGAGACTTTGTTCCAGTACTACTCCATATTCCTATTTAGTCAGGATTACCGACGTGTATACATTAAAACGAATCAAATTTATGCAGAAATACATAAACGCTTTATTGAACTACAGCTTCCATTCGAGAGCATACCTATAGAGATGATAACCAAAACACCTAAGCCTATCAACTAGCTCACAAGGCATGAGCCAAGTCATATACATGCTGGCATAGAAGACGTGCTGGAAAGAACTACACTGGTTGCTTAATCTCAATGTCGGGTTTCGGGACAACTTCATACAGCGTGATGCTGGTGAGGGAGATGGGGACAGCATTGATGGTGATGTCAGTGGAGTGGGACGTGGCGTTACCCGGCACTTGCACGTTCATCTGGTCGATCATCTCGTAGTCCTCCTTAATTGACGTGCGGTGCACGTGCACGAGCACAGGCACCAAGTGGTCAGCGGAGAGGAAGTCCTGCACGCGGAGGGTGAGCAGGAAGTCCTTGAACGACTGGTTGGTCACCAGGATGGTCAGGCGCTTGTGCCGGGGGCTGTACGCCGCCACCACCCCGTGCTCGCACTTGGTCACCATGCGCACGATGCGTGACTCCGGGGGCACCGCGCGAGTGAGGTGCTTCATCACGTAGTACTGCTTGCTGAATACCAGCTTCATGCTCTCCACGCTCTCTCCGCACTCCCCCTTAAACCGGAGGAGCCCCCACCCGTGGGTGTTTGGTTCCACGGCCATCCAGTAGTACCAGGCGGCCACCCCCATGATGTTGATGTGCTCCATGACGGTACGCGCCATGTACATGGCCAGCTGCAGGTCCGTGCCATAAATGTCAATGGGGCCCCACTCCGACTGCCACACCTCCTTGCCTATGCGCGCTGCCGACTCGCGCAGGTCTTTGTACTGCAGCCCGATCTGCCACGACTCGGGGAAGTGTTTCGACTGGTACCCGTGCACGCAGATGTGGTCCACCTTCTCCCACGTCTCGGGCCGCAGCGCCTCCGTGGGCGACTTGATGCTGCGCACCGTGTACGCCACCCACGAGTCCGCCACCGAGATGCGCGTCGGCAGCCCACTGGCCTGCAGCGCGTCCGCCAGCAGCGCCACCACCACGTCCACGTCGTTCACACTCACCGAGCACCCCTCGCGGTTCCTGCCCGCGCGCCACCAGCCCTCGAGCGCCTCGTTGAAGGGGTTGATGTGTTCAAAGGTGATGTTCCACGCGGGGTCGGAGCGGTACTGCTGCATCACGTCCACCAGGTACTGCACGAACGCCCCCCGCTGCTCCGGGCGCATGTTGGGGTCGCCGTGGTCGTTGCCCGCCGTGTCCCCACTGACGGTCATCCACCACGGCGGCGAGTACGAGATGGCCTCAAAGTGCTGCACGCCCAGCTGCTTCGCCGCCAGCATCACCTTGCGCTGCCCCGCGTCCGCCGACCAGTTGTAGGGCGCGAGGGGGCCCTCTTTGAAGGCGTGCATGGGGTGCTTGGTGCGCGCGATGGCGGGTGAGAACATGGCGTTGAAGCCGCCCGGGATGGCGTAGCGCGCCATGGAGAGCCCCAGCCCCCTGTCCGCGTGGAACACCAGCTCCACCAGCCGCCCCATGCACCACTCCGGTAGCCCGCCCGCCTGGTTCGCCCACCTGCGCGCGCCGGAGGGGGAGGGCGCGTGGGGGGGAGGAGGATGCAAGAGACAGGAGTGAGGGTTGGGGGAGGAAGTCGGTGGAGGGAAGTTTGTTGGGAGGCATGTTCATAAATTCATCATTCCCATGTACGACTTACCGTGCATCTCCGTGTCTCACCAAGCATCACCGTGTCTCACCGTGCATCACCGTGTCTCACCGTGCATCACCGTGTCTCACCATGCGAGCGAGGTGCCCCAGCCCTTCCACATGGTGGCGGTGAAGTTGGGTCGCACGTACACGTAGTCGTACCCTGCACGCACGCACGCACGCACGCACGCACCACACAGCCACGCCACGCATGTAAATCAGCCTTGTTTTCAATTTCAATGTCAACCAGCCATTGATTCTTCAACACACGTGCCAAGCGGCCGGCGACGAGAGAGGCGGGAGAGGCCCTGCAGGAGCGACCGGATTTGCGTGCGATCAAAGCTCTTACCCGATTTGCTCATCACACCATTTCTCAGATTACACTCGACTCCTCGTTTTACTTGTGTGTCGCACGGCGCTGGGCCTACCTTGGGTGTCGCACGTGTGGTATCGGTCCGTCTGCTTCTGCTGGTACAGCTCCGTCCAGTTGAACTGCCCCCACTCCCCCTCCCTCCCCTCGAATCGCGCCTGCGACGGGCGCGTGAGATTCGACAGCTCGGGCATGGGGATGGGGTCGTCAGCCGGCGTCGGCGGGACCGCAGGGGCGGGCGCGGGGGCCGCAAGAGCAGAATCGTTGGGCGGGGCGGCGGATTGGTTGAGCGAGATGATGGGATCTTTGGGCTGCAGTGGCATGGGAACGGCGGAGGTGTTGAGTTCAGAGGCAGTGCTGGCGGGGGACGCGGGGGAGGGCGAGGGCGAGGACGAGGAGGGCTTGAGGGCGAAGAGCAGCGCGACGAGTGTGGCGACGCCGACGACGAAGAGCAGCAGAATGCCCGCCAGCGCCCACCGCCACCGGTGCTGCTGCTTCGGGTCGCCCGGCAGACACAGCATGCGGTCGCAGTCCGCGGACCCGCATGGCGGCGTGCACCCGCATCTCCTGGGGGAGCTGTTGTGCGCGGCTTGCGGCGACTCCGCCATTGCGGGAAACTCGCCATCGGGAGCAGCCGCCGCGTCGGCGAGAGGGGCTGTGGCATTGGAAGGGACCGCATCTTCTACAGTAACTACCGCATCGCCTTCCGCACTACTGGGCGGGTCGGCCATGATTGCACCTACCGATTCTAGTAACTACGGGGTGGACTTGCTGCGTGTCAAGGAAAATATTCAGAAGAGCCTAGCTGGTGGCATTAGCTCATACATGAGGGGGAAAGGATGATGTTGAATTTGGTTCGCAAGGAGCGCGGCAGATGCAACTCGTTCAGTGCGCGTGGTGAAGGAAAGAACGCGTTGGATTGCAAGTTGCAATTTGCAACTGGGTGTTGAGGGGAGGGGCGAATTCGACACACTGGAGGGGATCGCGGAGAATAGAGGGGGCGGGGTGGGTTTGGCGGGGAGGCGGACGGAGCAGTCAATCAAAGTGCTGGGCGGACTTGTGGTCGAGGAGGAAGGGGCGAAGCGTGGTACAGCGCTAGGTGGTTGCGCGGGGTTGGGCGGCGATGGAATTTGGCGGCTCTCGTGGCTCTGGGAAAGGGGAAACGCCATGCGTGCGACGGCTATTGGTTGGTGCGACGCCGAAGGTCCTTTTGCACCCTGCTTGGGTTTTGCAACCAGGTAGGCTTGGCCCCCCCGAACGAACATTCTTTACATCCATTGGTTATCGCAGCCTTGGACGTTTAGAGCCCCACCAGGTCTGGTCGTGAAGGACTTGGCATGGCGACGCCGTCACCTTCGGGAGGTGGCGGTTTGGCGATGCTTATAGGGGTGTCGACTACACGGCTTCAATTATTGTGAAATGACTAAATCTTCAAAGCAGCACATTGATAGAGTTGGGGGAGGTGCTTAGGATGCGGCACCTCCAGCACCGATCCTGTGATCGATCCTGCGCAGGATCAAATGTTTTAGGAGTTTTAAATGGTTCCAAAAGCTTTAAAGGCTTTCAGCAGGATTTCAGTACGGTTGAATCAGCGATCCTGCGATCGATCGTGCAAAATTGCTTGAGGTGCCGCGTCCTTGCCGTATATCAATATTGGTTCCTACTGGTTTTTGGCGCATTTTGTTGAACGTTACTGTTCAATACCTCTAACAGCGTTATTTGAGACTAAAAGGGGAAATATATATCAAATTCTTTGAACACTCTGATCTTTGTTGTACCTTACGTGGTAGCTTGAATTCATTGCGTGGCGGCGCAAGCACAGTTTGTGTACACTGTGCACCACGTCCCTCATTGCGAGCCACTACATCAATTGTGACCTTGACTTCGGCGAAGGACCAAATAGACAGCTCTGATACGGTACTTCATCGGTTGACATTGTCTCAATGGTTCTTTGGCCGTAAGTCAAACGGGTGGCTTCTGACAGTCGTCTAACACATTTCACCTCCCAATCTGTTCAGAGGTTCTGGTTGATCATGTTGAAAGAGAATAAGCTACCAGCAGGATCTAAGCTCACAACAACAAGCAGGAAGTTGGCACTCCCTGGTAAAGAAGAAACACTGCAGCAAGGGAGGGTTTGCTGTGCACCTCCAGTTTAACATCTTCTCTTGGTAAAACTAGTACTTTATTCAGGGACACATCATGCAGAGTGCAGCAGAGCAGGAGGCGGGCATCAGTAGCGTAGCCAGTCGACGCGCTGGCGGAGGTCCTTGGCGCGGCCGACAGCAATGCGGTTGGAGGGGTCGTACACCAGCGCTGTGTCGTACGCCTTGAGGGCGCGCGCCCACTCCTTCTGCCTCTCCAGCGCGTCCCCCAGGTTGTTCCATGCTGTCACGTACGCGGGCTGCAGGCTGACGGCCTTCTCATACGCCTTCACTGCCTCCTTCAGCTTCTCCTCACTGAAGTAGCTGAACCCCAGCGCGTTGTACACCTGCTCCCACCCACCGCAAGACCATGCCACAGGGCAAGGGGGGGGGGGGGGGGCGGGGGAAGGGCAGCAGGGAGTGGAGGCAGGGCAGCAGGGAGTGGGCAAGGCATGCAGCACGTGAGGAGCAGAGCAGACAAGCGAGCCTTCAAGCACAAGGTTTAGGTAGTGAGGTGAATTCTGGGCGCATGGGTGGGAGGGTGGGTTGAACGGTCAGTGGGGCTGCTGTGTGCAGGGGGGTATGTTCATGTGCATGTGCTTTCCATCAAACGCTTCGTTAATAATGTGTGGGGAAGGGGGGAAGAAAGTGGGGTGGAGCGCGTGTGTGTGTGTGTTCGTGCGCGCATGCTTGCATCGCATGTACATGCGAGCGTGTGCATGCAGGTGTTTGCGCGCGTGCATCCATCAGCCTGCATGCCCATGCCTGTAAACGTGCCACGACATGCTTGCATTCTCATCAGGTATGCCATCCATGCCCCCCACTCCCGCCCCATTCCCTCTCCACCCCACCCAACCCCCCATCCCCCCGCACCTGCGCGAGTTCTTGTTCGTCGCCCTCCCACTTGGCGATGGCGAGCTCGAGGTACTTGTTGGCCACCACGAAGAACTTCTTGCGCAGCATGATGGCGCCCAGCTCGAAGTACTCCTCGCTCGACGCCTCACCCGACCGCACGCGATCCTGCCGCAACCATGCCACACGCGGGAGGGCGGAGGAGAGGGATCAAGTCGAGAGGTTCGAGTCCAAGGCCTTTGATTCCTGTTATGTGCCAGTTTCATCCTGTTCTCTAACCCAAATGTGTCCTTGCTGCCATGTTCCATCCCCCGACTCGCTCGTCCTTCCCCGCTATTGATGTTCGCCACATTCCCGTCGCCTGTGAAGGACATCCTAGCCTTGCCTCGTCCCATACTCTCTGCCCCCCTCCTCTTCCTCACGCGCATCTCCCGGCGTGGCCTCACCTGCAGTTCTTTGGCGGCGTTTTCAAGTTCGCGCTTCACGAGCACCTGGCGCACGACGAGGAAGGTGCCGAAGCCCAGCAGCGCCAGCAGCCCGCCCAGGTACAGAAACAGCACGCTGAACTCCAGCGGCGCCGCCTCCGCCACCTGCACCGCCGCGCCGCGCACGGGGGGACACGGGAGGGGCGCCGGTCATGCGTACGAAGGGTTATTCCGGTCCCACGAAACGAAAGCAGACGCATCGGCCCGCGATCTAAAGCAAGGATGAGAGACTGTGATAGATATGCACCCTACGCCAGCGGCCTGCGCACTCACCATGTCGTAGGCCGGGTTGAGAAATGCTAGCGGCAACGACACGTCCTCCGCCGCTCGAGCCATGTCTGCAGCGCAGCAGCCGTAGGGCACGCAGGATCGGGCATCAGATAGGCATTTAAGCAGAAGGCGGGGCTGCGACGAACCAGAACCAAGCGAGGGATCGAGAGAGGCGGGAAACGAGGGGCCATACGAGACGACGAAGAGATGAGCCGTCTGGTTGGTTCGCGGGAAATCAGAATGACGGGGAACGAGGACGCTCACCTGGTTCGAGGAGAGCCAGCGCAGCGGAGGCATGCGCGGCTGGCATCGCCATCGCGACTCGATGATCCCCCGTTCCTGCAGCCTTAAGCCCAGCTGGCACTCTACTGACGAGCATTCTCACGCGATCCGCTCGACATGGTTGTCTGGATAGCGGCTGCGCCATGCCAAGTCGTGGAATTTGACGCGTCGCATCGAGCGCCGCCACACTCTGCATTTTACGCTGCGGTTCTAAGGAGAAATTTTTGTTGAGCGGAACCAACCGTTGCTTACAAGCTGATTGTGAGCGACGTGATGGTGATGAGGGATCCGTGCTAGTGCGTCGCTCACTGGCTATTCAGCTTCTGGGCTGCGGGAAATTGTGAATCAGGATTCACGATTTGCTCTTCTTTACCCCTCTCTGGCCTGGAGAAGGTTGGACTTTGAAGAGAAATGTGTTTGGCTTGCCTGGTGGGTTGCCGCGCTCAGCGCAATATTTTTGGGGATTGCCAAATCCGATGGGACTCCACGTGGAGCCTCGGAAACGTCGTCAGCCACATCAGCAGGCACATTCTGATTTTACTAGAGGTTGCTTTTCTTCACAACATTATTGCGCATAAATCGCTTGTTTTAGCATTACTATATCGTGGAAGCGTCATATTTTTGAAACTTCAAATCGAAATCCCTCGTTTGTAGACAGATTTGAAAGCAGGCTTCCCTGGATACGTCCCTCCTCCATCTCCCTCCTCCCCTTCACCACTCCACTCCTCCCTAAACCTACACTCCCACTAGCTCTCTCGCCCTCTCGTTTCTAGGGTAACAAGTCCTAGACCCGTCCTTGGTCTGACTGCTAGGAGGAGCCATGGCTGCGGAAGCGCACTTGGCTCACTCAATAGCAAGTGTAGGCTCGTCATTATTGCAAGAAATCTCTCCTGCTACTGCGTCTTTCGGTCAGTCACAAGGCTCGCGAGTGTCCGGGGTTTCGCTGTTAGAGCGTGGCCTGCAAAGGCTTAGCCTTCACTTGTCGGCGTCACGAACATTTATTCCCCGCGCGTCGGACAGCGGCGCATCGTTAGAAAATGCATCGGAAAATCAGGAATCGCCGGAGCATCAGGAGTCGGTGGACGCGGAATGGCCGCAGCTGCGGTCCATCAGCGTGGGGCTCGTCGACGACACTGTAGCCATGCTCGACCGGAAATGCGACTCGCGGGAGACGAAGGTGGTGCGGCTGCTGCTGGCGCTGGGGCTGGGCAAGCAGCAGGTGGCGCAGGCGATATCGAGCGACCCGGACGTGCTGCAGCTGAGCGTGGTGGACATTCTCGCGCGCCTGCGCGTGCTGCTCGACCTCGGCTCCTCGCTCGGCGAGGTCGCCTCGTCGCTCGTGCGCGAGCCGCGCTGGCTGCACAGCCCGGTGCAGCGCATCTACGACATGGTGGCGTACCTCGAGTCGCTGGGCGTGGAGCGCGACAAGGTGCACCGCGTGCTGCTGCGCTTCCCGCGCATCATGGAGCTCAGCGAGAGCGAGATCACGCCGTCGCTCGCCAAGCTGCAGTACATCGTCGGTGAGGGCCGCGACATCTACCGCATGATCGAGCGCCAGCCGCGCGTGCTGGGGCTGTCGCAGGCGCAGATCACGGAAACCGTGGAGGTGCTGAAGCAGTTCATCGCGCCCGAGCAGGTGGCGGACGTGCTGCTGAAGAAGCCGCTGGTGCTGCTCATGTCGCGCGACGCCATCGTGCAGCGCATCCAGTACCTCGCCTCCATCTTCCACAAGCACCGCCTCTCCAACGTCTTTAAAGTCGCGCCCGGGCTCCTCACCATCGACACCAAGCGCCTCATGCGGCAGTACTCGCGCCTCGAGATGTTCCTCGACCCCGCCGCGACGGACAAGCTCGTGAACGCGTTCCCGCAGGCGCTCACGCTGAGCTGGGAGAAGGTGCTGCTGCCCAAGTTCCGCTTTCTTGAAGAGCTGGGGCTCGACCGCTTCGAAGTGCTCAACTTCCCCGCGTACCTTGGCTACTCGCTCGACTCGCGCATCCGCCCGCGCTGCGCCGTGCTGCTGGCGGCGGGGTACGCGATCCGCGCGCACGACGAGGTGATCACGACGGACAACGAGCGCCGCCTGCGCAAGTTCGGGCGGTCGCACCACGAGATCCTGCAGACGTTCGGGTCGCACGCCGTGTGCATCCAGCACATCGTGGGGCTCACCGACGCCGACTTCCACTCCCAGTTCGGCGTCTCCCCCTCCTCCGCCTCCGCCTCCTCTGCCTCCTCCTCCTTCTCCGCCTCCCCCGCCACTGCCTCGGCTAGTTGACACACAGGGGCACCCTTACTATTGCTGCAGTAGTCGCGGCTGGGGTCGGGCAGAAGCTGAGGCTGTGGCGCGGGTGGAGGGTGAAGTGGAGGGTGAGGGTGAAGCTGAAACAGGGATATGACAGGGGCATGGTGCATGGGCATGGCAGAGGTCTAGTTACACACCATGGCAGGACACCCCATGCCTTGCCTGCTGAGGGTTATTGTGCCTCATTCCACTGAACAGCAGAGCTTGCTGTACTTGTGTTTCTTGGTAATCATGAGCTTGCATGCAGGTATTAGTGAGTCGGGTCCTCTCATTGCCTTCCATAGCTTCTCATTTCATCCTTCATTCTGTGGGACACACCGATGCAAATGGCTTGAGCCTTGCAGTGTTTTAGCATTAACATACATAGAGTGCCTAAACACAGGGCCACTGGCCACCCAGAGTGGCTTTATGAGCCCTACCACGCAGATGTGAAGACACCGTCTATGCTTAAGAGAAAACATGCGCCAGCCTGAAGTGCCAGCTTGTGTTAGCCCCAGCTGACAGCACTCGCACCTAAAGCATTCCGCCCGAGTCCCTGCAGAGTGTTGTTACCACTGCCGTATGTGTTTCAAGGGGAGCTTGCATGCAGCCCCCGCAGGTGCCAGCGTTATTGCGAGGGGGTGCTGTTGAGCTCGTCAGGGGTGGGTGTGATGCGGCGGCTGAAGAGGCGCGACATGGGGCCCTTCTTGGCGGGCTTCTGAGCGGGCGGGGTCATCTCCCCCAGCTGCGGCGCCCAGGAGGGCACCTCTCCGTGGGCCAGGAAGTGCGCGATGACGGCGATGACGACGTGGTTGCGGAAGTAGCTACCGTGCGACAGCTCCACGTTGCCCGTCATGTCCTTGTACCGCTCCTCCAATGTCACACACACCACCTTCAACTCCCGCTCGAATGCCACTCTGCACGGGGGAAAGGGAGGGGCGTTGACAAGGAGGACGGGGGATAGGGAACAAGAGAGGCGCGGGTGAGATGGTGTGGGGATGTGGCAAGGGTGTGTGCATGCAGCGTGTGAGGAAGGTGTGTGCGCAGCGGTGCACGGTGGGTCACCTGGAGATGCGGGGGTTGTGTGCCATCTTATCGACTTGGTTCTTTAGCAGCGCCAGTGTCGTCGACTCCTCCGCCTTCCTCTCCAACTCCGCGTCATCCTGCCATGCATGCCATGCACATAACGAAAGAGGCGGGAGCAGTGAGAATGGTGGGGTTGAGTGCAGTGAGCATGAGGTTACATGCACACCCCCATTCTGGGTGCACACTTGAAAAGAAGGCATGAATGAAGGCACATGGATGCAGGGCGGCAGCAGTTACCCAGAGGAAGCGCCAGCGCTGCGCGATGGCGTGGGGGTCCACGAGCTGCGTGTGCGCCTCCATCAACGCCTCCTCCGTTGCCGCTGCCTCCCCTGGTATCACCGCTGCTCCATGCCACACACAGCGGAGGGGAGAGGAGAAGGGGGGGAGAAGGGGAGAAAGGAGGGGAAGAAAGGGGTGAGGGTGCATGCAGAGTGCAGTGGGAGGGGCAGCAAGGCAGGGCATGGAGACGGATGGAGTGTCAAGTGAGCGGCTGGAGTTGTGAGCGCAGGGGAAGGTGTGAGCGCAGGGGAAGGTGTGAGCGCAGGGGAAGGTGTGAGCGCAGGGGAAGGTGTGGCAGAGCAGAGGGCGTGGTAGGAGGGGCGGGGGAAGGGCAAAGGCGCGAGTGTGGGGGCCGCGAGGAAGAGGAGGGGGGGGGTGTTTGTGTTGGTGGGAGACTGACATCGCTTGCGGAGGTCTTTGAGCTGGTCGAGCGTGGCGGCGGTGAGGATCTTCTGCACGTTCCAATGCGCTATGCTGTGCGTCGCTGGGGGCAGCCGCAGCCACTCCTCCACGTACACCTGCGCACAGTCCAACTCGTTCTGTGACCCCATGCCATGCCATGCCGTGCCATGCCGTGCCATGCCATGCCATGCCATGCCATGCCATGCCATGCCATGCCATGCCATGCCATGCCGTGCCATGCTATGCCGTGCCGTGCCATGCCGTGCCGTGCCATGCCATGCCATGCCGTGCCATGCCATGCCATGCCATGCCGTGCCATGCCATGCCATGCCATGCCATGCCATGCCATGCCATGCCATGCCGTGCCATGCCATGCCATCCAATGCCATGCCATGCCATTCAGCACACACACCCACAGCATGCCATGTGCAGTGCAGTGAGGAGAAGAAACTGATAGTGAGAAGGTGGAGAGAAGTGGAATGGCAGAAAGCGAGAGCAAGTCCGCAGTGACCTTCCTTGCCCCTTAAAGCTCGCGGCCCAAATTGCACAAGTTCAGTAAGCTTGCGCAAGTCTGAAGGCTGGGTGGTTTGGGAAAGATGAGCAGGTGTTGGGAGGGACGCGTTGTCTGATTTCGCAACACTCAGGTGCTTTTTCGCCGAGTCAGCAAACTCTGGGGCCAGTTGCCTGTTTGAGATCTCGAGTCCCAAATTGCAGAAAGCTGAAACTTGAAGTTTTAGCCCTGTGTTAGGCCTCGACCAATAGAATTGCTTCATACATACTGTAACCAGAATTCGCCAGAATACAGCACCCAAAACGGATGTTGAGCAAGATTAGTAATCTTGCCCTGTGCGCCCCGTAATTTGGGCTTTGAGCTTTAAACTGGCATGTGTGCACATGCTGGCAGGGCAGGGCGCAGGATGCGTGGTGGCGGGGGCAGGGCGCAGGATGCGTGGTGGCGGGGGCAGGGCGCAGGATGCGTGGTGGCGGGGGCAGGGCGCAGGATGCGTGGTGGCGGGGGCAGGGCGCAGGATGCGTGGTGGCGGGGGCAGGGCGCAGGATGCGTGGTGGCGGGGGCAGGGCGCAGGATGCGTGGTGGCGGGGGCAGGGCGGTGGTTACCTTCTGCAGGCCGAAGCCGAGGGTGATGAAGAGGCGCAGCAGCTGGTTGCAGAAGTAGGGCACGAGGAGGAAGTTGAGCAGCCACAGGATCATGTACGGCACCGCCAGCACCACCGTCCACAGCGCCACCCAGCAGTTGTTGTACAGGTTGGCCAGCGACACCAGCCATGTCTTGGCGGGGAAGGGGCGCAGCATGCGCCATGGGTCGGGCGTCAGCATGGTCTGGCGCACGCGGGCATGGCGTGTGGGGAATGGAGGATTGAGGGGATGGGGTGTGGGGAATGGAGGATTGAGGGGATGGGGGATGCGCGGAGAGAAGAGGTGGCGCTGGAGGGGAGCGAGCATGGCGTTTGGGCTGGAAGTATGACCTGCGGCATGAGGTATGCGCACCTTGACCTGCGGCATGAGGTATGCGCACCTTGACCTGCGGCATGAGGTATGCGCACCTTGACCTGCGGCATGAGGTATGCGCGCACGAGGGGCTCCGTGGAGAGTGCGAGGGCGGCCTCGTCGAGCTTCCCTGCGTTGAGCACGAGCGCGCTCATGGCTGGGCTCCACGCCTTCTTCTCCGTGAAATACACGTTGCCGTCGCTGTACCGCTTGCTGCTCAACGTGTTGTACACCACCACCGCCACTGACACCAGTGCCACTGTTACCCAGAATGTGAGCTGCCCCCCGGCCATGAGGAAACAGGGTGAGGACAGGGAAGATTGAGTGAGTGTGGCGTATGGCTTGCCAGTTTGCACTGTACCGCTTGCTGCTCAACGTGTTGTACACCACCACTGCCACTGACACCACCGCCACTGTCACCCAGAATGTGAGCTGCGAGGCCCCGCGCACAGGCGAGCAGTGAGGAGAGGTGGTACAGAGGAAGGAGGCAGAGGGCGCAGGACGAGGGCAGGGAGGATTGAGCGAGTGTGGGATCTAGCTTGCCAGGCAGACTGGGATTGATGAGGCAGATCAGGCCGGCAGGCCGGCAGGCCGGCAGGCAGGCAGGCAGGCAGGCAGGCAGGCAGGCAGGCAGGCAGGCAGGCAGGCAGGCAGGCAGGCAGGCAGGCAGGCAGGCAGGCAGGCAGGCAGGCAGGCAGGCAGGCAGGCAGGCAGGCAGGCAGAGAGGGTGGTGGGAGATAGAGTGGGTTGGCAGGGTGTGGGGCTGACCTCGCCGCCGGTGAGGTCAGCGGTGTTGACCTCGTGGAAGATGGCGTACTTGACGGACACCACGGCGCCCACGATGACCACAAACACCAGCACGGAGAGGGCGAGGATGGTGCCCGCCATGGTGCGCGCGGCCTGCGGGTCCCAGTGCTTGGTGTAGAAGGGCGTCCCCAGGAACACCATTCGGCCTAAGCAGTTGGTGCTGCTGCTCCCCGCCCACTTCTTCCGCAGGTACTTGGCCTGCCGCACCCTGGGGGGAGGGAGTGGGGGACGGACAAGGGAAGGGGTACAGGGTTGCGGGGTTATGGCCGGTGGGTGGAGGAGATATGTGGGAGAGACAAAGGGAGTGACGAAGAGGGTGAGAAGAGGGAAAGAGGAGCAGAGAGTGGAGGGAGGTGGGGAGTGAGTGGAGGAGGCGGGCGGCCTTGAAGGACAGGAGTGAGGGGGAGCGGAGAAGGAGGGGTTCAGGGGGCGGCACTCGCTTGGGAAGGCCGAGAAGCGAGTCAACGCGTTGGAAGTAGGCGTAGGGGAAGGCGCCCAGCGCCTCGTCGCCCCGCCATGGCCGCTTCACCACCAGGAACGGCGCGAACGCCAGCATCCAGACCGCGCTCACTTTCACCTGCTGGTGCTCCTTTATGCTCCGGTACCCTTCAGCGTGCGCCTCCCAGAAGGCGGCGGTGATCTGGTCGTGGGAGGCGCGCGCAGGGTCGCGGGAGTCGCGGCGCAGCATGGAGAGGTACTTGGACACGGCCTTGAGCGCCACGTTGCCCCCGTGGCTGTGCGCCACCACGTGCACGCGCGCCGACGGGTCCGCGCGCCCCACCGCGTGGATCAGCTGCGCCAACGCTTTGCCCGCTGCGCCAGGGAGGGGGAGAGGAGGGGGGCCCGTGGTGGAATAGATGGGTTCGGGGGGGTAATGAGTGGCAGCATTGGCGGATAAGAGGGATGGTTTGCACGAGGACGAGCAAGCATGGCGTGCTGCCTTTGGCCGCGCCGTTCCCATCATCCTTGCCCCTTGCTGCTCACTGTACCTCGGGCATGCTCAAACCCCTACTCCCCGTCCCCCGGGCCACGTCCTCACTCCCCATTCCTCACAGGCGCGCTCACCCATCTTCCCCCCCAGGCGCGCTCACCACCGACGCGCGCCTCGTGCGTGTTGTGCCCCGACCAGTGGAAAGGGTACGGCACGTCCTCGCGCAGCCGCATGCCCGCGTGCGAGTCTGCGCGCGTGGGGAACGGGGAGGGGGGAGAGCGGGGGAGTGAGGGGGAGAGAGTGTAGGGCGGGGAAACGGATGGGAGAATGCGGGAGGTGAATAAGAGGGTCAACGGGTCGTCAGAGCCCCTATCGCTAACCTTGCAGCGCCCCTCTCCCCGCACCTCGCCCGCCAGCTTCCCCAAACCCCCACCTCCGTGCAATTCCCCCCGCCCCCTTCTCCCCCCCGCGCACCGGGCAGTTGGCGCCAGACGGCGTCGAAGCCGAGCGGCGTGCCCTTGAGGTCCTTGGCGATGAGGTGGCAGAAGTTGTCGGCGCGCTTCGCGTCCAGGAAGTACCACGGCGGCGGATTCCCCGCGGCGGGCGGCGAGTCGAACGTGCCGTGCACCACCAGCACGTAGTGCGTCTCGCGCGCCGGGTCTGCGGCCGCGGGACGGGTGGGGGACGTTGAAAAAGGGAAAGGGGACAAGGGGGGATTGAGGGAGGACGAGGGAGGGAAGGGATGGAGGGGAGGGGGGAGGTGAGAAGAGGAAAGTTACGGGGTGAGGAAGATGGGGGTGAGGGGGACGGCGAACGGAAGGCGCGAATGCAAGAAGGCGCGAGGCGAGAGCGAGAGAGAGGCGAGCGGGTTAGACGGAGGGGATGGAGAAGGAAGGGCGCATGGCTGACCGTAGTCGGCGGGGGACGTGAAGAGTTGTCGCACGGTCGTGTAGCGCGCACTGGCTTCGATCGTCTGCTGCGACCGGACGAAAGGAAGAAAAGTGGGAGGGGGGGGGGGGGGGGGGGGGCGCAGGGGGGGCGGGAAAAAGAATGCTGGTGGCGCGAGTGAGTGAGCAGCGGTGGAGAAGACGAGTGGCACGTGAGGGGAGCGTGGGGGATGGAAGGAGCTACGCGCGCGGTGTGGCCACTCCTCTCCCGCAGTGACGCCATCCTCTTCCCTCGCAACCCACACTGGTAACTCTTCCCGCCCTTTCAGTCGTCCCCAACGTCGTGCCTTCCACTCGTCACGGACTAGTAGCACTCTGTCGTATGCGCTAGCCGCAGCTGCGCGTCCCATCGACGGCAGCGCTATCCCCGCTGCACTACGAGCACGCCGCAGTATCGCGTCCTATCGCCGCGCACAACCATCGCAGATTGCCTCTGTCCTACGACGCATGCGACGTGGACGACCCACCTTGCTGACCGATGCGTACTGCGACTCCTCGTCGTCGTCGTACGCATCGGCCACTTGGACCGATTCGTCCAGCGTCGATTCGCGCTGCGTGTCCGGTTCTGCGCCCATGTCGCTAGCAGAGGAACCGCGCAATCCGAATCTACTTAAAAAACGTGACGTGGGCCTCTGTTTGCAATGATGGCGATGCAGCGTCGCGAGCGGAAGTACAAAATAGCTAACACTCGTAGCCTCTAAATGCTTTTAGCGTGACCTAATAATCCACTTTGGTCCCGCCTTTCATCCAGCACAAGTCCTGTGCTGAAAATTCTGCCAGCCACACACGCAGTTGGCGCGAGATGTCGCGTTCAGTGGCGTTTCTTCCGCAGCTGTGCCCGCCTTGTTGTCGCGTTCAGTGGCTTGGGTTGGGTCAAGCAACCAGCGGTGCAGGCATTTCTGGGCTGGTTGAAAGGGGCGCAGAGTGCGGCGCAAGCATGTAACAGAAGCTGCGACTCGTAGGCCCACCGAGATCAGCCAATGGTGCCGTATCAACACCTGGGCCCTGTTCGATAGCACTTTGGGGCCCCCACGATGCAACCATTTGGTTTGGCTCTGTCGCCCAAATGGTTCAGCGTCGCGACAAAATGCAAGTGGTGGGACAGCGCCGGCAGTGTAATCATTTTTGCCGACCCGAAGACGGCCGAGGTGGTCGAAAAGCTCCACCTCAACGGCCCTTTGAAGCGGACTGTTTCCAGCCGCGGGGTCTGCCCGGGGGTTCGACGGTCTACGTAAAAACAAAAGCCTCACCCAAATGTTTGTGCTGAAAATGTATAGAGTATTCCAGATCGGTTCCAGCATTAGTTAGGTGTGTCGAAAGGATTTGTGGTGCAACTGGTTTATACCTTTTGTTTGGCGCGACTATCCCTAAATAGCCCATTGGTCTGGCATTGGGGCCACTTATTTGAAAAGTAACATTGGCAATGGTCTGGTAATGGTCTGAAATTTTACCAGGGATGGGCTGTAATGATTAGGCGACAGTCACTGTTACTGCGCGCTGTGGTGTCAAACCACCCCGTTAAAATTCCCGCCATGTTTTAGCAGCTGGGCGGGAAACCAAGGACATCGCAGGGGGGTCGTTCGCGCTGGCGGGAATTATGAGTCGTCGCAGGGGGTCGCAAACCGTTTCCCGCCCAACCAACGAGGTCACCTCAAAGCGTTTCTGGCGGGGTACCCTCGCTGTCGAACAGGGCCCTGAAAGCGCAACATGAGCGCCACCCTGCGCTGCGGAGGCGGTACATCCTCAGCTCCGGGGAATGCGGATGGGACCATTTCACGACAACCATCAGGTGAAGTACATGAGAGCTTCAAACATGTACATACATTGAGAGTATAAAATACTAGAATCGACGGTATACATACGGTCCAATGAAACATCGATAAAGAGATGTGTACCAATAATCTGTAGTTGCTGCTGTGAATGTCGAGTACAGAATTCAGAGTCTTCCTCTTTCCCCCCGCTCGCGTCGCAGACTCAGAGCCATCGCCGTGTCGCTTCAGGGATTGGCTTTGGGTGGAACGGGTGGCATTTCCCGCTGCATTTTTATATTTTGCGCCTCGACTCACCACTTGAATTCACATTTCCTGGTCAAGGCAGGGCGTGTGTTTTGTTCTGACTACATGGTTACGCAAAAACACTCATCCTTGTTCAAAATCATTGAGAAACGCCTGCTCCAGTTAGTAAGCACAATCGAAGTCGAGAATCCTCTCGCGCCTTCCAGTCAACCTTAAACGAAGGCCTCGTCTTTGGCCAATTACCTGGATTAGTTTTCATGGCACTGCTGAGACGAAGATGTGTAGTCTACGTACTGGCGTCATTCATCCTCGTTGCGTTGATAACAACAACTCACGCCGCTTTCTGCGATACCTTTATAGCGCAGTTTCCTAATCGATGCCCGATAACATCGACGGTCGACTCGTTGGACTTGGAGAAATTCACGGTAGGCGTGATGGGGCTCGACGAAGCCATGGCAGGGAGGTGTTGCTTGCTGAGTGTGAGCAATCTCGTGGTTCTTTCCATTTCCCAGTCATTCCCAGCCAGTCACATTCTCTCGTTCTCCAGTTTTTCCCAGTCTGATAACGCGTGGCACTCTCTGTGACCGCAGGGCGCGTGGTTTGAGGTGGGAAGCAGCGCGCTGCACAAATTCAGCACGGCGAGCGGCCTGTCGTGCAACGCCGCCAAGTACTCCGCGCTCGCCACCGCCACTGACGGCAGCAACGTCGCTGGGTAAGCTCCGAGCCTGCGCATCCCCTGCTTGCGCGAGTCGGGAAACAAAGAAGCGTGAGCTTTCGCAGGAAGGCTATCTGCAGCAATCCCTCCCAAATGCCATCTCCCAACTCGCGCCACTGCCCTCGTCCTTTGCGCCCCCCTTGCCGCGACCAGGTTTCTCAGTCGCGGCCTTCGCACCGTCAGTCCGTTACGAGCCGATCAGGTGCGCCACACTACGACCCGCCCAGCGTCCAACGCGTTCGTGCAAGGCATGCTCTCCCGATCACTTAGTTGCCCGTCGTCAGACATGCCCTCCGCCACTGCTCCCCGCACTCATCCCCCCCTCTTCCTTCCCCCGCTCAGGTGTGGCGCATATCAGCAGCAGCAGGGCGCATCTCGCGCAACCTGCGCCGTGTGTGCGAGGCGGCCGTTTACAGCGCCAGGGCGCACGCGTCCCTGCAGGCGATGCTTGTGCCGGGGCCTCAGGGGGTGGGTGGCGGGGTAAACAGCAGCGGGACTACGCCCACTAGTGACAGCAGCAGTAACAGCACAAGCCCGTTTTCCCAGCAAGCCAACGGAACTGCGCTTGCAGCTGTGGGCATACTGGCTGCGTCTGGCGCCACCCTGTCACAGCAGGCCCTCGCGATCTACAATCAGCTGGGAGCGCTGCAGCAGCATAACAACCGCGCCAGCACATTCAACGACCCGCAGGACCCCGGGCTGGACGTCACGAAGCAAGGGCTCGCAGACGCAGCCAACCGCATCATTGCTGCTGCTGGAAGGGCTCGGCGCGCAGGGATGAGGGGAAGCCTGGCGGTGCTGCAGATGCAGCTCATGCTGCCCGCTGCCAACAGCAGTGCCGCCACCCGGTTCACATCCCGGCTCTCTGGTTTCCTGGGGCGCGCGTCTTGGGAACTGGGAATGAGAGGGAAGGTGGGCCTGGCGACGACTGTGATTCGCCTGCTGGCGGCGTCGGTGCTCGTGCCCTCCCTCACCATGTTCCCATCGCCCTTCCCCTGGAATTCCCAGACCCAGCTGCGCATGCAAGCCGTGCAAGACAGGAAGCAGGTGAGATGCGGGGAGGGACGTCAATTCATTGCTATGATCATTGACTGAGGATAGCCCACATGCTACTGTCACTTCCTTCAATATAAGCTCTTGTGTGTCTCACCTTGCTGCTCTTGGACAGCCTGGGAAGTTTGCAGTGAGCCTCTTTGGATTCGCTCGGAATAACAACTACCTGATCAACAAGCTTGAAGGGAATGCAGATTCTGAGTACAACATGACCACCATTGTGTCATGTGATGGCGGCCAGGTGAGGAAATGGGAATACAACCCTAAACCCAATGTGTTCCAGCCTTTCCAGAGCTATTGGCAACGAACTGCAGTTGTATATTTCTAAGCCAATGTTCTTTCATCTGGTGCTCTGTGCCCAGTTCTCAGTATCCATACTGGCGCGCACAACATCAGTTGGTCAATCGGAGATGGACGCCCGACTTTCCCAACTGGAAACACAAGGCATTGTACTAGGGGGAGCAAACATCTTCATCAAGGCAAATCAAGACGAAGCGGTGTGCAACACTTTGTGGGGAAACTGACCATCATGAATAGTTCAAGGTTGTGACCTTGTAAGTAGAACTAACCAGCACAACTAAAGTTGAAGCATGCATTAGAATGATTAGCTCATCTTGTTGCTAGCTCCAAGATTGATAGGATGTGACATTGTACTGTCTGATGTATCCACTTCTTGTGGCTTTGTGATTAATGGACTACAAAAGCAGCAAAATCTCGATAATCTATATTGGTACTTAGAACGCCCCGTTTCTAGACAAACAATAGCTCGATTCTTGGTTGTTCTAATGCGGATGAAAGTTACACGGTCGCCGTTTTCGTTTACCTGCCATGTTCGCGTCCAGGTGATTCGAAACGATCAGTCACGCATGCCGACGCGTGAATCCACGACGCGCGTTTTCAAGGCGCGCATGTAACAACCGCGTCGCACTCATCACAATTTCGAATTCCCAATGCTGTCCTTCTCAATTGGAATTTGGCGCACTAGCAGTTCTTGCCCCGCCAATGTCGCCTCCGCCCGCACCAAGCTCCTTGAGAATGACGCCCCTAGATCAGCCAACTCTGCTTTGCTAATCCACTTTCCATCACGTTGACTCTCCTAGCCGACAAAGCATTCAGATTCAGAAGTCCGCATTCGTCGATGAGACGTCCTTGCACCTCATCACTAAGTTCAATCGCGTAGAAGCATTGAGGTGGTTCATGCAGATAGGTTGGCGAGATAGATCATAACGATAGCGTATTGCCTGTTTCTGGTGTTGAAGGTGACATGTTTCACCTCGCATTTTTTCTAAACCGGCGTAGTTGAGCCTATCTCAGTCTATTATTAACCGGCGTAGTTAAGTGTTACCCGACACATCCAGTACTGAAGCCTTTGTGCTGAACTGCATCAGAACGTGTCAGCAGCAATATCCTGTCCCGCCTAGCCACGCGTCATCGTCACCCCTCCCGACATCCACCATGGAAATCACCTATAGAGTAGGCCGCGGCAGCCGCCTGGCTGCTGTGCTAGCGTGCGTCGCGGTGTGGTGCGCGGCGTGGCAGCGCGCGCGAGCGGGGGACACATACTTCTGCCAGGAGCTGGTGAAGGAGACGGTGGGGGCGTGCCCCGACGTGCAGACGAGCAACACGTTCATGGCGGAGTTTTTCCAGGTACCCGTGCGCGCGCCTCTAGGCGGGTACACGTGAAATTCATGCATAGTTACTGCGCCATTCCAGTCGGCCTTCCAATCGCGCTCTGCCCATGGGCCTTTAACTCTTGTACCGGTCGTCCCTCATATTGCTGGTCGACAAGTTGCTGACTATGACACCGCGTCTACCAACGCGCGGCTTCGTGCCGTTCAATAGCACTGCAGTCGATACAGCTGGTTAAGAACCGTCAATTTTTAGCCCCACCGACCCAAACTCGTCTTGGCATAGCCTTCTATCACATTCCCTCCGGTGTGTTTCGTGGGAATTTGTCAAGACACCAGCAGTTCAAGCGTTTCAGCCTCCAGGTTTTGACGAATTTGAGTGTCCGTGGTATTGCTACAGGGCAAGTGGTACGAGATCGGGTCGACGGCGGAGTCGAAGCTGGAAGTGAGCGGCGAGCTGGGCATGTCGTGCGTGACGTACAACTTCGTATTCCGCGGCATCAACCACAGCCTCAACAGATTCAGGTGCCTACCTGCACGCCTCTACCCACCTCTTTGATCGTGCTGCGTCGCTGCTCCGCAAGCCGCCGTCTCTCGTGCGCTATAGCCATTCCCCTCCATCCTCTTTCTTATCTTGTCCCACTCGCTCTCCTCGTTCCTCATTCCGCCTTGTGCGGTAAACTTAACCCCTCCTCCCTTACTGCCCCCCTTCCCCCCCATCTCGTTTGTCCTAGCGTGGTGAAGCGCGGCATCCGCATGACCACGCCCGCGCGCCAGTCGCAGATCCAGGGGCTCTCCAAGTCCGCGCTCGCCGTGCGCGACCACCTGCGCTCGGTCTGCGCCGCCATCGCGCGGCCCCCCGCGCAGGGCAGCTCCGCCACGCTGCAAGTGAGCAACGCGCAGCAGACGCTGTCGTGGGCGGAGCTCCCCAACGACGTCGAGGCGGACGTCAAGGTCGCGCTGGGCGACATCGCGAATTCCATGGCGCAGGTTTCCGCGCGCGCGGAGCGCGCGTATAACCTGCTGGCGCGGATCCAGCAGCTGAACGCGCAGCTGAGCCAGATGGACCGCGTGTTCTTCATCTGGCAGACGAAGCAGAAGCTCGTGAGCGCCGTCAAGCAGCTGCAGAGGGAGTCGACGGCCATCAACAAGGGGCGCGTGAGCATCATGAAGTCGGCGCAGATCGCGACGCGGCGCGTCAACAAGGTGGAGAACAAGCTCGGCAACCTGCGCGGCAAACAAACGGTGAGCCCTCGTGGAGGAGAAGCGGCGCGGCGCTGCGCTCCAGAGGCCGCAGCTGTCCTGCATTGTTCCCGTTCTCGTTCATTCTCCCCTCGCACTGCCACCACATCCTGAACCCGCCCCCATCCACACAGACACAATAATATATATCCTTCCCCCCTCCTTCCACCGTCCCTCCCCTCAGCTGCTGCTGAACCTGAACGACATTGTGGGGCTCACGCGCAACGTGAGCGGGTTTGGGCGCGCGACGGGGCGCATGGGCGCAGCGACGGCATCAATGCGGCCGATGGCGGGGCTCATGTTCTCCAACCCGCTCGCCATGCGCTTCTCCTACTCCGCCATCGGCGCCGTCACGCAAGTGGAAGCCTCGCAGGTACACCGCCGCGCCCAACGCCCCTTGCATGCGCTGCGCAATGCAGCGACCTTCTGGTGCCTGCATGCCTGCACGGGATGTGACCCCCCCCCCCCCCCCCCCCCCCCCTGCCCCCCTCTCCCCAACCCCGGTCTTTCATATCGCTGCTGGCACTGCATTGCGCGTCCTTAAATGCACTGCGTATCTACATTCATCGGCTAATATAGCAGCACATTTTCCGTTTTTAAATAGCCTCTGCTCCACTCCCAAACCATCCATCCACACCACACCACACGAGCATGGCAGGTGGGCAAGATGCAGGTGACGTACGGCAACGGGCGGGGCGTGGTGGAGAACATGTGGGTGGCGGGGCTGTGGGGCAACCAGGCGCTGTCAGACTCGTACAGCATGGCGCTCATCTACTCGTGCTTCGTGCCGCCCGCTAACATTGGCTCGGGGAGAACAAGCGCGGTACGCAGGCAATCTTCGAGCTAGCCATGTGTATGCTTTGGCCCCCAAATTACGATCTAAATGCTCTCAGCCTGTCGCCTGCTAGAAAGAGTCTGACCAGGTGCCACACTGTCAACGTTTTCGTTTTGATTTTGGCCATCCAAGTTCCTCGCATGGCACTGCAGACATCTCAATTCTTCTTGCCCTTCACCTTCTCAACCCTCGTGGTCCCGTGGTGTTCCCCACAGATCTCCTTCCGCCTTCTGTCCCGCTCCCCATCCGTCTCTCAAGCGGATGTTGACTCGGCGCTGCAACTGCTGGAGCAGCAAGGGGTCCCAATGGGTGGACCCAACCCTTATGTGCCAACCTTCCAAGTAAGAAACCAATGCATTTCCAGCTGGCAAGGCAGAAACTGATGAGAAAGGGGAAGACCAGGTGCACATCTGGCACCTAGCTACAAGATGTGTCTTGATCATTCAGAGCTTCCCAAAATTTGTTGGATCTGTGCAACTCTGAAGATTATGGAGATATCGCAGTTGCACAGATAAAAAAAGTTGTAGAGTATGGCAGGACTTTGTAGAATCAAGTATTTTCCTGCCCCTTACGCTAGACAATATTTGAATACAAGCTATGCTAGAGTGATTTCATTGTATGACTAACCAGCAGTGTACTTAGATGTATTCGTAGCATGTCTATATTAGGGAGATGGAGGACTTTTAGTACACATGATGCTCACCCAATGCACGCGAAATTGTCTCGCACCGGGTGGAAACATTGCACCCGTGGGTTTTTTGCCGTGAAGTTGCACCCACGTTTAGAGCGCCTTGGACTACTTACCCAGGTTGACGGAATACAACCACAAATGAATGTAGGGCACAAAACAAACTGTGTTGCCCAGGGAGTCCTTGTTTCCTGGCCAGAAACAAAGGACGCGAAGTGCATGGACGAAACACATTCGAAATCGTTGCCACATTCGCGAATCCAAGCTGTGCCACGTAAGGTGTGTCAAGGTGCGTCAAACAGACCACTGCCAAATTCCTACTGCCACCTGTACCTTGCACTAAGGCGATACAGACACCTGCATAGCCTCTCAATGTGCAGCAAACACACGTCACAACGTACGGTGGTGGTTACAGGGTAGCACATCGCCTGTAACCATCACTCGATTCATTTGTCTAAAGAAATGTATCGCGCATCGGTGGTTTCAAAGTGCCTCATCACAGCCCACGACGAGAAAGGCAAAATCACCAGCAATCAAAAGGCATGCCTTCTTCCCGTCAATCATAGTTTCCTCTTCCCTCACCACAATGGCTCGCTTATGCCACCGTTCGCAGCTGGGCTTGCCGATCAAGAGGGCGATTTGCGCCCACCATGTTGCAAATCCGCACCTGCGCCATGTTGATCTTTCTCGCTGGTGCTTCACTCGCTTCGGGATTCGCCCCGACCGCAGCACTATTGGGCGCGTGCTCAAGGGTGCCGACCGTTGGGTGCGACCTGATGGGGCCGCCGACGTCATCCGTGTGCGCGGAGGCGCACACCCCGAGCTCGAGCGCGCAATGGCTCGATGCGGGCCCGGCTGGCGTGCCTCTCACTCTCGCAACAATCTGCGACCATGTGGCGACAATGGCGCGGAACAGTGGGATTCCGCCCACATTTCGCTGCTCCATAGGCTGGGTCCGTCGTGCTCTGCGCCGCCAGGGTGTCCGTTGCATGAGCGCCGTTGGCAAGGCGGCCGACCAGGACATGACGGCCATCCGAACGACCAAGGAGAAACTCCCGCAACTGTTGATGCATCTTTCCGTCACTCCGAGCGACACCTTCAACTTCGACGAGACCGCTTTGTTCGTCTCGATCCTGCCGCGTAAGACGTATGGCACCACCCGCACGGCCGGCCGAAGATAGCCAAGGAGCGTTTGACGGTGGGCTTCCTCGTCAACGCCGACGGGTCCCGTGTCTTCAAGCCGTTGGTGATTTCGAAGGCGAGGAGGCCCCACGACTTTCGCCCTGACTACAATCCCGAGGAGAAATGCTACTGGCGTAATAACGCCAAAGGCTGGATGACAAAGGCGGTGAGTATGCTGGTGCATGTGTGTATCGTTAGCCGACCTCGTCAATTTCAAGTTACCGAAAAGTGACATTGTTACGGCCAATGCTTTGTTCCCCTTCCGCCCGCTATCGCCATGCGCAGTTGTTCACTCACTACATCGAGCAGCTTGACGCCACCATGTACGCCGAGGGAAGGAAGATCGTGGTGCTGCTCGACAACGCCAGCAGCCACACGCTCACGACAGAAGGTGTCACCACCGAAGACATGTTCGGATTCCGCACGTGCGCGCTCGGGAACGTGCGCCTCGTGTATCTACCCCCGAACACGACCTGCTTCACCCAGCCTCTTGACCAGGGTCTCATCTCAATGGCGAAGGCGCGGTACCGTGCGCACTGGCTCCGCGCCTTTACCGGCATGTGGTGCGCCGACGGCGCAACTACCGCGGCTGCGCGTTTCAGGCTGAATTTGCGGCTTGTGCTGAAGTGGCTCCACGACGCTCGAATGAACGTTGGCCCACGCGCCATCCAGCGCTGCTGGTGGCGCACCGGATGTCTTCCCCACGTGTGGGCCATGTCTCTCCCACACGTGGGGGTCGGGAACGGCAACAACGGCAACAACGGCGGCGCAGGCGGCGGCGGTGCGAATGTGGCCGACATCGGCCTCGATGCAGAGGTTGACGGCGTCGGCCTCCTCATTGACCATTTGCGCCTCGGGCCGAGCGCGATGGCCGCCGCCGATTTCGTGAACGTTGACGCCAACCAGCCCACCTGCGCCGAAACGGGGGAGGACCCACTTGCAAGGGAGCCCGCTTGCAAGGGAGCCCGCGTCGGCGGCGACGCCCGCAATGTGGGAGGCGCATGCTAACATGCAGGCTGTCTACGACGACAGCAACCCTGCGTCGCGCGAAGCGCGCCGCACCGCTCGCGCAGCGTGCGAGATGCTGATTGGTTATGCGCGGGCGACGTGCATTTCCCCGCGCGACCTTTGCGCCTTGTTCGACATCTGCAACCCCATCATCGTGGCGCGCATGGAACGCGCGAGCCCGCCTCTCGATCTCGACCACGTCCCACCCCCGGCTGTGACACACGCCGACACCCCGCCGCCTGAGACCCCTCGTCGCCGCAGTCGGGTGCTTCCTGCGTGGGCGCATGTGCCCACCCCAGACTGGGTGGCGCAGTCGGCCCGCCGCCAGGAGCTGATTGACGCCGGTGCACCCGCCGTGATGAGCGGGTACCTGGCCGCTGCAGAGTGGATGCGGCTGTGAGAGGGGATTTTGACCCCCTTAGAGGTTGAGTTTCATTCATCTTCTAATGCATCAAGTGTACGCCTTGTACACATTTGCAAGAATTGGGATGGATGACGGGGTATTTATGTTGAGTACAGGTGGAGCAGCTTCATTGGGTCGAAGGGGAATCGTGGTGTTTGTGACAGTGCAGGTTGTGAATTGTAATAGGCGAAAATTGTGGTAACAACCCCTTTGAATGTACAACAAACAAAGCCACCCTACACTGTTTAGGGAAAGGACAAGCGTGTTACCATACCTGCCTTTTAAGCGCCCCCGATGGCCGTGGCGAAAGCCACGAAGTGCCCGAAATGACCGGTGCGGTTACAGTCCCAGAGGGCAAGGCAAGGTTGGGGAACTATAACGCGCATCAGGTGTAAAACGAGAGATCTACAGTAACTGTACTAGTGAACAGAGGGACAAGCCACAGGCACACCAGCCATCCTCTTTGACAAGTGGCCCATTGCAATGCAAGCCCCACGGTTCTCGGAGTTGTTTGTCAGTCCCGCAGATATCTTCAACTCTGTGGTTGCCAGTTCCACTTTCCACATTGCCATCATTCGGATCTTCTTCAAGCGAGAGTCGCCACATACGGCACGCTTGCGACGCGGTCATAAACGCCCATTCGATGCTGGTCGCTTTGCAACTGACCCCCGAAGCAGGCGCAAGAGACAATTTGCCAATCGAAAAACGACACCCTTCTGATTTGTTTAGATGTGCGTTGCGAAAGCTGATGTGGCAGGCAGCCTTTAGGAGGGTGTTCTTCTTCGAGTATTGTTGCCTCAATTACCCGGTTTATAAGGGTGGTTAGTAAGAACAGACTGGTTGTGTATCTCACTGGTTGGATTGTAGGTCGACCTTGGAAGAGCTTGTTTACGAACTACGCAGCATACTTCCCTGTCGCGCTCCTCACCACCCTAGTATGTCTTAGCCCCCACCAGTCTTTCTGGAGGTGCACGCATTATCTGGAAATCAGTTTTAAATTTGCTATGCAGGGTTTCGGAATGAGCTCAGCCACAATTCGAAGAAAGGCTAGATCCTAAAAATGCCACCCCCCCCCCCCCCCCCCCTACCCCCCACTTTCACCCCACTAGGGGTGGAATACTGAAGCGGAAGAGATCCCTAAGGGTAACGACGTGTTGCGACCCAAAAAAGTCGGGTTGGGTTGGGTCGGGCTGGTCGACCCGTGCATCGCGGCTCGGTTCGTCGAGGAATTTCTAAGAAATTTTGATACACCCTCGAAGCACATACACAGCAAAATTGCTATCCGGCTTCCCTGGAAGCTAGGCGAGCTATGACGAGTTTCCAAAACTCGCTGAACGCATGGTTACGCTGAAGCTTTGCCTCGCTAGATCTGATATTTGTACACGATCTCAAGGCGATTTTTTTGTGAGAGAAATACGATTCGCTAGCTTAAGTAACTTGTCGCAAACCTGTCAGCTTGGGTCTGGTCGACATGGTCGACCCAACCTCGTCGACCCGGTTCGGGCAGACCCAACCAGACACGGTCGGGTCGACCTGGTCGGCTAGACCCGCAATGCAGTCTTCCTAGAAATGATGGATCGGGGGTGGTCGACCCGACCTCTTTGGGTCGCAACAAGTCATAAAGAGATCCCTTTTAGTGGGATTTTGGTAGAAAATTTCTCCTATTCGACACTCCACATGCGTGTCATGATGTACGCTTGTGTACCTCACCCAGTTTCTATCCACCTGCTGCAGCACCAGTGCCAGCAGCACCACGAGTTCCTGCCTGTGACAGTTCTTCCATCCAATCCACTAATCCAATCCAGGGCGTCCATGTTCGTTTCCCAAATTCCCATCCCACACTTGCCTGCTGCCAGATCCATCCAACCACAACAGCAAGTGAAGAACAACCAGCAGCAACACGCGACGAAGAGTTGCAAGCAAGCGACATCCTTCATCCCTCCCTTCCCCAGCCCCTGCCTGCCCCGCCCCTATTCCGTGTGCTTGCTTCTTCGGTCTGCGACAGCAGCATTCTGGTTGCCTGCTGTTCTCTGCTGCTCTTCTCGAATCTCAACCGAAAACCACCACCTGTCTTTGGATCTGTCCCATACCTCCAGGTAGACAGCTTTTCCTTCCAGATTATCTCACTCCTCTTCGGACACTGAAGCCGTACTGTTTTCTGTCTCGAGATCTTTCAGCACAGCAGCACTCCACTCATGTAGAGGACAGCCTTCGTACAGTTCCGGCTACTGATCGCGACGTCTCACCTGTCGCGCTAGAACCTCTGCCTTGCGTTGGCGTTAGCTTTAGTGGCCAGGAGTGTAACGTCAAAATCGTCACGAGAGCGTGATCTCAGGCAGAGCGTACCAATGGGGCCAGGAGTCGTTTTCCCACAGGCCCCGTCACGGGATCGACCGTCGTTTCCGATCGCATTCGGCGCGAAGCTCGCCGTAGACCTCGGAAGCAAGCCGCGGCCTCAACAACCCTCGCCAATCCGCGGTTGCGACAAGGGCCAGCGCGATCCGCTGCCGCCGCTGCAGCAGCAGTGCACCATTCGCGCCCTGGACGCAAGGAAGCCGTTCAACGCGCCGCCGCTTAGCATTCCATCTGACGTGTCCAGCAATCCAGGCGACGACGCGTCGTCCTGCTCCTCGCCAACGTCGTTCCCCGTCCTCCCACTCTTCTCCCATCACTCCACCGCCAAACCGCCGTCCGCCTCCCGGCCCCCCGCGAGATCCCTGCGACCGTCGCTACCCCGCCCGCGCTCCCCGTGCCCCTTCGACTTCTCCGCGCTTTCCAACAGCCCGCGCCGCTCGCCGGGGACCACCTTCGGCAGGCCCGCACGACCAACCACGGCTCCTGATCACACGCCGCTGCCTAATGCGGCATACCCGTGCGATGAGGAGAGCTCGCGATCAACGGACAATACAGCAGCTCCGGCGCCGGCAATGACGGCGCAGCAAGCGCAGTGGTTCATCCTCCCCGCTCAACGCCCAGAGGTTGTTCGCGCCGCCGCACAGACCTCCCGATGCGCGTCGCCTGACACGCCCTTGGGATTCGTCACCTCCCCCAACGCGGCCTCGTCCCCCTCCAGCCAACTCGCCCGCGGCGCTAAGCCGCGCTCATCCCTCTCCTCGCTCCCTCCCTCCTCCCCGCGCCCGCCGATCGCCACCGAATCCGCCGCTGGAGGATTTGCACCTGAAGAGCGCGGCTTTGGAGGAGACTACGATTATCCGGAGTCGAACCGCCTTGTGATCACTGGTAACAGCAGCCGCAGCGTGTCGAGTGCAGGCAGCGTGGAATGCGGCGAGCCGTCAACCTCCAGCCTGGGCGATACTACCACCGCCGCGATCGTCGCAAAACCCGCGACTGTAACCGCTCGGAGGAGCTCCGAGTCGGACTTTGCCGCGAAGCGCGCCGTCGCAAATGCCGCGCGGCCCGCGCCAATGGGGTTCCGCAGCGTGAGCTTTTGTGGACGGGCGGACGGGCGAACCACCATGGGGGCGGAGGGGCAGGCGGAAAGAGAGTTGGCGAGACACCGGTGCGCCTCGATGCCAAGCAGAAACATGCCACGTGGCGCCGGTTTGGTGGCTGCTTGGGGTGGTATTGCGAATCGCGCTCCTCCCCTGGCGGCGTCACGTCAGGAGGAGGCGGAGGAGAAGGCGGCGGAAATGACGGACGAGGTGGAAAGAGAAGGGGACAGAGGAGTGGTCATGGATGACGTCAGCGACACAGCCAGCTGCGTGCCTAGCAGCGTGAGCGACGGGTGGGGCGGCAGCCATGGGGGTGAGGCGGAGGAAGGCGACAGGGGAGGGGACACGGGGGAGGAGGAGGGCGGGACGGAATCTGATTGGGCCAGCGAGTCAACCATGTGCCTCAACCTTGAGAGTGAGTGGGATCACGTGTTTAGGTGTGGGTGATTCAGGTGTATGAGCGCAGAGAGGGTTACACCACTCCACGCAACCGCTCCTTGCATCATGCAACGTCCTTCCTCTGCTTCCACTCATCCCTCCTCTCCCCCTTGCCTTCCACCTTGTGCCGCTCCCCACAGGTGTGGAGCAACTGTGTGCGCAGATGGAGTTTCAGAAGAAGACGATTGAGGCCATCCAGATCGTGGCGGTCCCTGCCCTTCCCCAAATAAGCCTGGAAAGACCCAGAAGGGCACTCAGCAGAGCAGCAGCAGCAGCCGCCGCAGCAGCAGGTGCAGGAAGCAGCAGTGGAGACTCTGAGGCAGGCACAGCAGCAGGGTGGCCGCTGAGGGCGTTGAGTGCTCCTCGCAGCTCTGCTGCCAGCCTGATGGCGCTGCGCTCCACTGGCTCCCTCACCTGGCACACTCCAGGCGACCCAGAACTGTGGGAGCGAAGCACCGTCATGTAGGTGCCGTGTTGGGTAGAGTAGGGTAGGGATGGATGGCTTGATGCAGCGTAGACGTGAACGGGAAAGGAGACAGCACTGATACTAACCTCCTGCTTAGCTGCTTGAGTAGGTACCTGTAAAGCATTGTTGCGACATGAGATAGACCCTTGCTGTGTTGATTGAAAGAACTGGTTAATCCATCCACAGTGCTCGAAGAAACCATCATCAATCCTCATGAAGGCAGTGGAGCAGGAAGCTCCCCAACACATCTGCCAAACACAATCTGGTGACTTTGATTCGATGGGGTGGATTCAGCTGGTGGCCGAGAAAACACAAGGCTCGTTGGGTTGAGTTGAGACGCACGTAGCGAACGGAGAAGTAGGGCAAGGGACTGATTGAGCACTTTCAACTGGGCCAGATGCAGCGCAGGTTGACCGTGCCTATACCGGTGATAAGGTAGATGTTTCGTGAACAAGACACTTCCGCAGGAACAGTGCAAGGGGGGGGGGGGGGGGATGGTCCGTGCACCGATCCTCAAGCCACTCCAATGCTGGGTCCATAACAGGTGAAGTACAGAGGCAACCACGAACGAGGCACGCTTGGATGGTATGTGTCGGTTCGCCCTGCTTGGGGTGCTTAGAATGCGCTCCCTGGGTGCCCGCTGCTGGTGGACCATGCCTGATGCGCACACAAGGCGAAATAGCTAATCTAGGATGGGAGCAGAGTCACTGGTGATGGGGAGGAGTGATTGAAGGGGGACAGAGCAGGAAAATGAGGCTTGCATGCTATAAGCATAATTTTATTGCTCGCATGAATCCATATTGCTCGAACGAATTCATACTGCTCACATGAGTTGATAGGGGAAGGTCGCACGGGCAAGAACGTGACGGGTGACTCGACTAACGACAACACCACCGTGAAGGCCTTGTCGCACGCGGGGCCTCCAAACCTTTCTCTCCCCTCCTCCCCTACTCGCATCTCTCCCCCTTCTGCTCGCCTCTCTGTCCCCCTAAGCTCGCATCTCTGCCCCCTTGAGAAACGCCCCTCCGCTGCACCCCCACCAGCGCCACCGCAACTAGCGGCCGTTGCTTCCCCGCTTTCTCCCTTCCCCACTTCGTCACTTAACTCGTGTGCCCTCCCACGATTGTTCCGCGCCTGTTTGTGGGAAATGCGTGCGCCGGAGGTAGGGCGCGGGGAGGAGGTGGGGAAGAGGGAGAGCGGGGAGAGGGGGCAAGGGCAAGGGGGTGGCTATAGTGGGTAAGACCGAAGATGATCGGCGCGGGTGATGATGCGTGGCGGAATGCATAAGGATGCACAAGGGGAGAGGGGAGAGAAGGGGAAGGGAAGGCGTCACAGGGGGGGAAACTGGAAGGGTGGCGGAAGCAAGGCAGAAGGAAGGGGGGAGGCAGGGGGGAGGAAGCTGATTCAAGGGGCAAGGCAGGCAAGTGCAGCGCTGAAGCACCCACATGCCCCATTGCCTCATCGGCGTTTCCCTGTCAACGTCCTCATGCCCCGAGCTGAGCCCACGCCCTGCCATACGCTTACGCATTCCCACCCATCCCCGCCCATCCTCACCCATCCCATCCATCCTCACCCATCCTCACCCATCCCCACCCATCCCCCAGACATCCTTACCCACGTGAGAGCGCCCACTCGCACGCCCCTGTGAGGATGGCGTGAGCATAAACCATCACTACCAGGTCCTGCAGCAAGGATATGCCGCCCCATGCCACCCCATGCCACCCCATGCCACCCCATGCCACCCCTGCCAGCGCTGCATCTGGTCTGGTGAGGAAGCTGCCAGGAAGCCGAGAGCCACCACACTGGGAGATGGTTGTATGGGGGATAAAATGGTTGGAGAGGGGAACGGGGGGGGGAGATAGTGGGGGAGAGGGATGGTCAGGACTCAGACAGCGATAGTTGGAAAGCGGAAGATGGAGGAATGAGCAGGAGGAGGTATGGCGTGTGCGTGTGTTTGTGTGAGAGAGTGGGTGAGCACATGAGTGGATGGCCATGAGACTTGAGAAAGTGCAGGAAGAAGAAGAGCATGACAGGAACGCAAGTCTCTGACCTGACACCTGGGCAGAGCTCCTTGTCCCTGTCACTGCCTCCCCATCCCCACCCCCCTTCCCCTCCCTGGCGCCCTCCCCCTCACCCTCGTCCCTCCACGTGCCCACAGCATCCAGCAGCGGCCCGATGCTCCCCATGCCCACCAGCCGGCCTGCTGCTGCCGGTCCCTGCCTCGCCACCTCCCTCACCCCTCCCTGCTGCGCTGACGCCCGCAGGGAGGCCGAGGAGTCGTGCAGGCAGAGCAGCAAACGGGATGCTCCGGGTTGGTCCAACACTTGCTGCAGGGTAATAGGGAGAGAGTGAAGTCAGCATGAGCATGTCGGTCAGACGGAGCAGCAGGCGAGATGCTCTGTGATGGTCCGACGTCGACGATTGCTATGTATAGGGGAGGCAGGGAAGAGGGGAGTGCGTGGGCGGACAGGAGGCCATGCCGTGAAGAGAGGAGATGTACTTTTGGGAGATTTACCAAGCATGTCCGCCTGAGGGCTTCCGAAGCGCGTTTTTTTAGGTGGTTCTAGATGGTTTGCGATGGTTTGGAGCAGTGCTTACCAGGGCGAGGGATTCAGAGTGCCCGGCGATGGTAGAGAGGCAGACGCAGACCTGTGCAGAGGGGTGGGAAAACAGGAGAAGCAGAAAGACAAGCAGGTGTGCGAAGAGGCACATGGGGTCGTCAAGATGGGTGCAGAAGGGTGAAAAGGAGGGCAGAGAGAAGGGGAGGGCAGCTGCAGCGCAGGTCGGAAGAAGCAAGCGTGGTGCAGAGGAGGGCAAAGGTGATCACACCAGGGTTGGGATTTGGTGTTGGGGAGGGGACGCATGAGCAGGAACATGGATGCAAGGAGGTGAAGTGAGAGCATTGAAAGAACAGGTGCCAGTTATGAGCACAGCACCTGACGCCTTGTCTTGACGTCAGGTGATCACAAAGTCATGTGCTCACCCCATTCTTAGGGCGCGTGTCCTTGAGGTCGAACTTTTGCCAAAGTTCGAACTTCTAGAAAGGTTGTGCACGGTAGGATACAGTTGAGAAACGGGTCGCCACGGTACAAAGCGGTACCAGGCTCGAACTTTGACAATCTACACCAAAAGACACGCGCCCTTACCCATCCCACCCATCATCACCCATCCTACCCATCCCCACCATTCCCACCCATCGCCACCCATCGCCACCCATCGCCACCCATCGCCACCCATTGCCACCCATCCTCACCCGTGGGAAGCTATTCGCGAGAGTGCCACACGCACGCCCCTTTGCAGGTGCCGTGAGCATCACCCATCCCTACCAGGTCTTGCAGCGCAGACATGCCGGCCGGCCGATACCTCGCTCACCACTGCCGCTGCTGCTGATGAGTCGTGCAGGCAGAGCCGCAGACGAGATGCTACGGGTTCGTGCAACACAACAACACTTGCTGCGAGAAAAGAGAGAAAGGGGGGTGGGGAGGGGGGTTGGGCAGGGAGTTGGGGAAAAGGGAAAGGGCGGAGGCGGAAAATAGAAAGGGTTGGCAAAACTTGAAGGACCCAGCCTCGTCACCCCCTTGCTGCTCCTGCTCATTCGCGTGAGTCGTGCAGGCAGAGCAGCAGGCGAGATGCACCGGGTTGGTCCAAAACTTGCTGAAGGGTGTTAGGGAGAGAAGGGAGAGGGATGGGTGAGCGGAAGGGGGGTGGGTTGGGAGCGGGGAATGAGCATGTAGGTGCTGACTTGGCACCACTATTTCCTGCCACTGCTCATGCCCGCAGGGAGGGCGATGAGAGGTGCAGATACAGGGGCTGCTGGGTTCAGCATTCGAGACTCGGGGGGGCAGGGAATAGGGGAGCGCGTGGGCGTGCAGGGAGTGGGCGGGTACCAGGGGTAACGGTTTAGAGCCGTCCAGAACTGTTTGGTTTGGTTTGGAGCGGTGCTTACCGAGGCGAGGGCTTCAGAAAGGCCTGGCGATGGTATAGAGGCAGACGAAGGGGTGCAGAGGGGTGCACTGGGGAAACAGGGGAAGCAGAAATGGGACACAGGGGGGTGTGAAGAGGTTGAAGAAGGCACATGGGGGGTTAAGGAGGGGTGCAAAAGGGTGTACCGAGGTGCTGGAGTGATGGAGAGTTCCCACCAAAAGAGCCCAACAGTGATGGTAGGTGGTGCAAGAGACGGAAGGGGGCTGCATGAACAGACTGTTGGTGATATCATGTCAGAAGCCTGACCAACCCCGACCCATGACCCCCATCCGTTCCCACCCATCCCCACCCATCCTCACCCATGAGAAGCCATTTGTGAAAGGGCCCACGCGCACGCCCCTTTGAGGTCCTGCAGTGAAGATATGCGCCCCATGCCACCACTGCCAGCGCTGCGTCACGTGAGGAAGCTGCCAGGAAGCCGAGGGTGAGCAGGAGGTATGGCGAGTGTGTGAACGCAAGCGTACTGCACAAAAACTTGAGCGGTGAAAAAAGCAAAGGACGAGGTGGGGGATGCATGGAAGCAGAGGCAGCTGCCCAAGCTCACCAACCTGTATTCTCACTCTACCACCCCCCCGCACTCACTCTTCCTTTCCACTTGCCCATCTCACTCCCTACCCATCCCCACTTCCCGCACCGAGCCATATTTCCTCGAGCCATGCCCTAATCGCCTTCCATCCTCACTCACACACACAACAAACAGACGCACACTGCACATGCACGCACTCAACCACACCCCACCCATGGCCACCACACACCCCCACAAAACCCCCCCGCACACACACGCACACACACGCACACACACGCACACACTGCACGCACCCCTCGCTCCCTGGAGCTGCGCGTGCGGCCCAGACGCCGCTCCTCGCCCTCACCGCTCCTTGACCCACGCCAGACTGCCATCGCACGTGCAGGGACGAGGGGATTGCAGGGGAGGGGAGGAGTGCGTGGGAGGGGAACAATGCACACACACAGGGGGGTGGGAGGGGAAGAATGCACACACACAGGGGGGTGGGAGGGGAAGAATGCACACACACAGGGGGGTGGGAGGGGAAGAATGCACACACACAGGGGGGTGGGAGGGGAAGAATGCACACACACAGGGGGGTGGGAGGGGAAGAATGTACACACACAGGGGGGTGGGAGGGGAAGAATGCACACACACAGGGGGGTGGGAGGGGAACAATGCACACACACAGGGGGGTGGGAGGGGAACAATGCACACACACAGGGGGGTGGGCGGGAAACAATGCACACACACAGGGGGGGTGGGAGGGGAAGAATGCACACACACAGGGGAAGTGGGAGGGGAACAATGCACACACACAGGAGGGTTAGTGGAGGTGGCTCAAAACAGGAGAAAGGAGGGCCAAGAGCGAAGGAGAGAAATGTTAGGAAGGGAGGGGGGTGGGAGGGGAGGGGAGAATCGAGGGCAGGGACGGACGGAGCAAGGGGGCGGAGTAAACGAGAGGAGGCGTGGTGCCACTGTTGGTTCACGCGTGGGCCAACACTACACACCGATCCTGCAGACACAGAAGGCACGGCAGGGTAACAGCACAGCAGCTTGGTACCTCCCCTCCCCCTCCCGCACACGCACACACACACTCACACGCACCTTGAGCCACCCCCCCACACATGCACACACACGGGCGCATGCACCTTCTGGCCTCCTGCTCGCCACCCGCCTTCGCCTTCTCGTTGCTGGGGCAGCGCTGGTACACGTACCGGCCCATGCTTCGCCGCTGGCAGCACCTGGCAGGCACAGAGGCGCTGGTACACGAACCGCCCCACTGCTCCCCGCCTCGCTACTGGGGTAGGGCACGCGGCACAACGGGCTCATCGGGAGGGGGACGTGAGGTGAGGGAAAGGGAAGGGTCGAGCTGCGGTTGGAGAATGCGTGAGTTGAACACATTGAGCTGGGCGGGTCAGCTCACGGCAGTTGGTGATTGCGACTTGGAGTGGCCTTTACAGCCGCCCCATACTTGAGCTCATTATCAGAGCTGCATTATTCTGGTTGGGGGATTGAGTGGCTGCAAGAAGCACCAAGCAGCACCTGACAGCACCTAGCAGCACCTAGCAGCACCTAGCAGCACCTAGCAGCACCTAGCAGCACCTAGCAGCACCTAGCAGCACCTAGCAGCACCTAGCAGCACATAGCAGCACCTGGCAGCACCTGGCAGCACCTGGCAGCACCTGGCAGCACCTGGCAGCACCTAGCAGCACCTAGCAGCACCTAGCAGCACCTAGCAGCACCTAGCAGCACCTAGCAGCACCTAGCAGCACCTAGCAGCACCTGGCAGCACCTGGCAGCACCTGGCAGCACCTGGCAGCACCTAGCAGCACCTAGCAGCACCTGGCAGCACCTGGCAGCACCTGGCAGCACCTCGCAGCACCTAGCAGCACCTAGCAGCACCTAGCAGCACCTAGCAGCACCTAGCAGCACCTAGCAGCACCTAGCAGCACCTAGCAGCACCTAGCAGCACCTAGCAGCACCTGGCAGCACCTGGCAGCACCTGGCAGCACCTGGCAGCACCTGGCAGCACCTGGCAGCACCTGGCAGCACCTAGCAGCACCTGGCAGCACCTAGCAGCACCTAGCAGCACCTAGCAGCACCTAGCAGCACCTAGCAGCACCTAGCAGCACCTAGCAGCACCTAGCAGCATCTGGCAGAGGTGGTAGCTTGCGCCACCTGGAACGGAGGCAGCACCTAGATGGCAGCTCGCGCCTGGCTGGCAGCGGAGGCAGCACCTAGATGGCAGCTCGCGCCTGGCTGGCAGCACCTCGCAGCACCTGGCAGCACCTGGCAGCACCAAGCAGCACCAACAGAGCTGGCAACACGTGGCAGCACCTGGCAGCACGTGGCAGCGCTAGCAGAAACTCGGTGGGGAGCAGCGGTGGGAGCGTGATGTGGGGGTCCTTGCTGTGTGGCGCTGCATGATGGCGTCAAGCTGCGTCAGCTCCTCGGGTGAGTGTGCCAGCTCGCACTCGCAGAAGCTGTGTTGTGCCACCCCAGCGTTGACAGCATCGCCTCTATCTGCCTCGCATGTAGGGATAACAAGCAAGCGGTGGGACTGATGTGAGTGCGTTGCATACAAAGCGCACTCCACTTTAGAGGATATTGAAGCTAGAGCTCAAAAGGGACAGGAAGCTAGCAAGTCGTGGATATTGAACCAGATAAGGCGTCGTAAGAAATGACTCAAGCACTTAACGGCAGGACTGACGTGAGCGCCTTGCAGAGCGACGTGAGCGCCTTGCAGAGCGACGGCAGCACGTTGCGCTGCACGAGGTGGTGCGACCACGCGTGCGACACATTCGCCAGGCGACCCAGCAACAGCGTCGCAGCGGATCGCACGGACGCCAGGCTGTCCTACGCGAGCGGCAGCAGCAGCTGCAGCGCGCCGAGCGACAGCAGCGGCTCCGCGTTCTGCGGGGGAAGAAACGCGGTAGGAACGCATTCGGAGTCAATAGAGCTGGCGAGCTGGCGAATCGCAAAGAAGGAACCTCACCCAGCAGCGCCATGAGTTCGCCATGAATTCGCCATGAATTCGCTATAAATTCGCGATGAATTCGCTATGAATTCGCCATGAATTCGCTATGAATTCGCCATGAATTCGCTATGAATTCGCCATGAATTCGCAAATCGAAGCTTGGATGCTGAGAGACACTGAGATTAGAGCGCGAAAAAGACTGAGACCAAGGCGAACCTGATGCGAAACCGCGAGTTCGCACGAACTGCACGCGCGCGTCGCGGTACGCCTCCATTACCGCCACCACGGCTCGAGCTGCTCTGAAGTGCGTGGGTGCTGGCAGCACCGCAGCTGCCGCCATGGCGAAATGCGACGGGTACGTACTTTTGAGAGTATGATTACGAGGTACCCCTACGCTGCCTGTGAATTTCGCGGGAGGACGAGAAGCATGAGTGCTGATGCGGGAGAAACATAACCACCGTCGAGCAATTCGGCAAGCACCTTTGAGTGGTGGTGAATCGTGATTCAGGATTCGCTCGTTGACTCGTGGACTAACTTCGGTTGGAGATTGTGGACACTATTTCCTTAGTCATACAGGGTTTAGGGACTAACTTCGGTTGTATTGTGCGATCGTTCGCTGTCAGTGAAATCACCAGTCATTGGTCACTATCTCCCTTAGGGCGTGTCATGCTTGGTGAACTTTCAGTTCATTTACAGCGGTTGACTACGAGTTTGTGCGTTGTAGGGCGGTAAGTTTCTCCCACCGCTTTGAACCGCCACATACCAGTCTGAACAGTGATTCATGTGCTGTAAACTTACAATGCATGACACGCCCTTACATTTTCCTGATTCACATGCCATGACTTGTTCTTCTGCTCTCAGCCATACTGTGCTGCAACACGGTATTCCGGTTTCCAGCACGGTAATGTGCAATTTTGAGCGGAAATCTAGTTCACCGTCTGAAACCGTTTTTCACCCTGCTGTGTGAACTATAGCAACAACTTTGTTCAGATCGGATGTCGCCCCGGGGGACTAGACTGGAGGAGAGATTCGCATCTGGTACCGTACAGCATAGCATGTTGCTCCTGGCAGCCTGACACTATTGGAGGCGATAAATTTGGGTCGCTCGCAAATTTGTCGTCAGCGGGAGTCTTGCTGCAATGTGCTGATGTGGCAATTTTCATCCACTCCTTGCTCCTGACAGCGTGTCACTGCGTGTCACTGCTGGATGAATATTGGCGCGCGGGAACTGAGCGACGATTTTTCATTTGGGTCGCACAGTGTCGTCAGCTTTAGTCCGAGGCAGCTTCGCACGATTTGCCAAGGTATGGTACACCCACTTATTCGTTTGATGCACCCGCGATTGTGCCACCAGCTCGGTACGTTCATGTAGAAGGTTGGGAGCGATGCGTTTATCTCACATAGAATCGATTCACACGTGATCAGTTCAGCATTGAATTGCTAAACGTCAAAGAAAATTGGTGGCAGAACACTACAGTTACACGCATTCGCGCTAAAGACGAAGCCAAATTTATTAGTCATGATTAGGTCAGGCCGGCCTACAGTTCCAAAAACGTATTTAGGGCGTGTCTGAAGTGAAACGTCGACGAATGTACAGTTTCGTCGAGGAATGTCGGTGAGTTTCAACCCTCGGATCGAGCGTTCCAACCGTCAGGATTCCTCGACATCCCTCAAAGTTTCGTCGAGGAATGTCGACGTTCACTTCAGACACGCTCTTATAGCCACATTTTGGGAGCAAGGGACGGCAATACGCAGGAAAATGTGACTCGCAGACGTTAAAAGCACTGGGCGAAAAGGACAAGCACCTCCGACCGAAACGCGCTCGGTGAGATTAACGAATAACTGGGTGTAAAGGTTTCATGAGGATGGTTCCTTGGCGAGGCTGGTTGACGTCAACAAACAAGTGGATGCTCACCTCCGCCTCCACTTTCCCGCATTTTCGTCCGCAGCGCACGCAAACCTGAGCATCATCCGTCAGGCAACGCGCGCTTCGGATGAGTGGTTTGTGTGCTTCGGTGCCCAAGGAGGTTCGGGAAAATCTAAACACAAACATTTTGGCTTTGGAGGGTCGCAATAGATGGACTGACGAAACCAAAATGCATGTACGAGCACAGTATTTAGCAGCTGAGAGACGCTGGTGCTGAATTAAGCGTCTTTAAATAATGAATGATACCCTACATCCCTCGCGATCTGCCTACCCTGAAAAGTTTTTTATAAACAAGTGGTGGTGGTGGACCACACCACAATGCTGCTGCAGCCTGCCACTTACTGCACTGTAGTGGTTTGGGGGACTCGTTGGAGGCACTCTTCTGCTCGACCCTCCCCTTGAGGCAGGGAGGCTCAGGGGTCTCCTCACAGAGCAGCAAGAGAAAATCAACCGCGAACTGGAGCGGCCCAAAATTACCCGCGAAGGAAAGCCGCTACGTCTGTGGTAGAGCAGAGGTTAGGGTTTCAACCCACGCTTCACGAACCGCGACCAGAAAGTTGGGTCGTTTGGACTCCGTCCCAATGCTTCGGCGTGGCATACGTTCACCTTCATCTAGTTGACTCAAACTATACATCACAGAAATTTGCATTTACATCTCTAACCCACAAATTTCATCAACATTCGATCTACTTCAACTAGTCGACTTTGGAGTTTCCACCTTCATTCGCCCCCAACGCCCAACCTCAACCCGCTTCCATCTACGCCCCCGCCCCCCGCCCAGCCTACCTCTCAAACTCCAGAGGTAAGCGTTGTCACGTCATTCTTTCTTGATGTTTACACCACCACTTTTGGACCACGATCTGACCTAGTTTGTTGTTTCTTGGCAGTCACAACGCCTGGTCCTTCAAATCGCTGCTACTCAAGACCAATGGCAAGGGCTCCGCAACCCAACGCAAGTTGGAGTGAGCAGTATCGTATACAACGCTCCACTCAAGCTTCAATCCGTCGACAAAAGCTGGTCGACCTTGGAGATCGGCCATCCGCCATCCGCCTCCATCACCAAACTTCAACCCGCCCCCATCCTCGCATCGCCCCCCGCCCTACCCACCTCACGATCTCCAAAGGTACGTAACTCCATCGCAACGCGAATGCTTTTGCAACACTTCCACTGCAATTCATATTTGAATGTCCAAGTTGACTTTTTTTTCCATGTTGAATCATAATCTGATTTTCTTTTGTTCCTTGTGCATGCAGGATTTAAGACCGTCATCGTTCTCAAACATCCGGCGCTCATCAAAGCCGTCGTCCAGCAAGCCAATGACCCTCGGGATCTTCACTGATCTTCACGGATTCTCGGGATCAACACCATCATTCGTTCGCGCACCACCAACCGTCAACCCGCCCCCCGCCCAGCCCACCTCTTGATCTCGAGAGGTAAGCATGTCGTGGTTGAGCTTGTACTTGTTTGGCCTTTTTGCACAGACTTTTTTTTTTGAA